GAAATATGTTAACAACTGAGATCAATATCTGCTATACAAACGAAGACAGAATAGGGTAATTTTTTTATTTGCAGTAATCAACAAGATGCCACAAATAAAAATGTCAATCTTTTTTTCTTCTTCTTTTTCATGTCTGCATCACAAGAACCTCAATATGCTTCATGGAGTTAGGGAGGGCAAAGCATAGTACCCTGGGCTGAGGAGATGCTATCCATCTACTATTCACAATGCAAGCATCTCAGGCCGGCCTATTAATTTTCCATACCCATGGAACCAGGTTCTCTGCCTTGGATTATTATGCAGTTTTCAAAATGGCTCTAAGTCTTTCAACTTACAAAGTTACCATTTACCTTGAACTGGCCTGCTGGCTGGGATGAATGAATGAACACTCTTTCCCAAAGGACCATAATTCATTCTCTGATCATAGCTTATGCATTTGGGAGAATTGGGATCAGTATGCCTGGCGCCTCCCCTTCCCTGCGCCCCACAAAGGAGTCATACACTGCACAGAAAGGGGAGACAAAGTGGCTGTGTGCCATGGAGTGTAGAGGTGTGGCCAGGGAGGTGTTGACTGTGAACTGCACCAGTCTAACATATAAGCAACTGTCTACATGATGTGATTTCAGGTGCACCGAAAAAGGCCTCATTGCCCCTCAGTTTAAACACTCCCTTCCCACTGGCAGATGCCTGGAATTCCATAGTTTTTAGAGCTCTGTGCCTTTGGTTTAAAGCTTTGATCCCTGTTAAAATACTCATAGCTCTGGGTGGGCAGTCCCATTCTGTCCTATCAGCCATGTACACTGGAAGGGCATCAGTGGTAACGTTTCTGCTCTGCAATCAGGGTTGAGAGAGTGAGGTTGGGGAGGGAGAAGATCCTGTGTACCTGAGGGGATGAGGGAGGCGAGCATCACCTGGGGGGCGAAGGGAACCGGGCCCAAGACAAACAATGTGTGCGTGTGTGGCCGTGTGCACAGCTGTGGAGGAACTCCTCCCATGGCGGCAGCTGCTGAACACCCTTTCTTAACCCTCTCTCGGAGAACTTGATTTATGCTGCTTTTGGAGCCATGGACCCGGCCTCTCCTCCCAGCTCCAGCCAGATAATAGCTGTGGGCTACAGCTGGGAATTCTCGAGTTCTTTCAGACTGGAGACTAGGAGCGAAAGGTGAAGCAAAGTTCTTCAGGGCCCGCTGTGTTAGGTAGTCTTCGTCTGGGGTCCAGAGGGGAAAATGAGGACTGACTTTGTTAGCGGAATGCTTCCCACTGAGCAGGCGAGCATGGAATTCTGAAGAGCAGACAGTGCACACTGCACGTCCTTCTGTCTCTAGACTGATGATGGTTGGTCTCTTCTGGCTGAAGAGTAAAGATGAGGCATTGGCTTGACTTCTAAGGCGAGGAAGGGAGCCTGGAAAGATAAGGCAGTTGTTTATGTTAAAAAAGGGGGTGGGGTGGGACAGGAAAGCCAGGCTTAATTCATAGGCACCCATCTGCACAGGAGACAGAGGATGTAATGGGCCTGGTGTGTACACTTTGGTTAAGGAATTGACTTTTCCTCAGTGAGGTTCTGCTGGCTGTGTGTCTGGGTAGGCAGAGCAGAGAGTTTCCCAGGGTGATCCTGTCAGCTTTCCTGTCCCCAAGGCAGTTTCAAGGTCTCGAGTCCCCCTATTCAGGCCATGGCTTGGGGGCTGGAAGGCTAAAAGTCTTTGAGAGGCACTTATAAAAATGGAACCACTTCTTAAGCCTAGTAAGTTTTATTAACTCCTACCTATAAGATTGGCTTAAAGCCCTGAAAAAACTGCTTGGAGGGGGCTGGTGGGTGCGGGCGGTTGGGAGAGGGGAGCAGAAGCTTTCAGGCCAAAGAAATATTTCACAAAACCTCAGGGCTAGTTTAGCTGCGACTAAGCCCAAATCCCAGGCATTTACTTCCCACCTCATGAGTTTTCTTAACTCCTCAGACACCTCATGTTTTTCTTGAAACCAGTTCCCATTTGGAAGGGAAAGAAACATGTCACAGCTTTGTCCTTCCTCAGCTTTGTCCCCGTAGAAGCAGGGGTTGGCAGCACAATTGTTAGGTGTTGTGTTGTTTTCTTTTTTCTCTAATAACATATGGAAAGAAAGTAATAATTCGAAAAAACAACACACCACTGCAGAAACCTTATCAGGCCACATCCCACCAGAGCATCGCAGGGAGCAGAGCTGAGACAGTGTACTGGATAGAAAGGGCGATGTTAAAAGAGAAGTACACGTCCTTCTTTTCTAGGTTCTCACTACTCAGTAGTTGAAAACAACTCTTGCCTTTGTAGTTAGTGGCGTGAGCTCTGGAAGATCATGAATTTATGGGAGGTCATGTCTTCCTCTGCGAGGTCATGAAATTCAATCAGTGCCTGCCTTCCAACCTGCCCTTTGGTCGCAGGCCTCCACAGGTGGAACATATCAAACTCACCAGCCAAATTATGACTCTTAATTGGTGTTTCTTTTAAAGTGGATATGTCATTTGTCAAATGTTCAATGCAGGCGCAGGCCTAGCTCCAGGCAAAATTATGAAGTAGGAGAAGAATGCCAGATCCATAGGCAGCACTCAAATGTTTCTTGGAAAGGAAAAAAAAAAAAAAGAATGAACTTTCCGTCCTTGACTCCTTCTCTCCCATGCCCCACACCCCCTCCATCACTCTGCCCTTTTCATTCTATCTCCTAAACAGCTCTGGCCGTTTCCCAGACCCCCCCCCAAAGCCTCTGCAACCACAGATCTTTGTCATTTCTTGTCTCGATTCTTTTCACAGCCACTCGTAACTGCTCTCATTGCTCCCCATCTTGTCCCTTCTCCACAATGAGTCTGGTGAGAGCTTTCCAAAAGGATCATGGAACCATGGCATCCCTAAGTTGACAACTTCCTCAAGGTTCTCGTCCTTCCCGCCCCCCCCCCAAGCCTGGCTTCAGCACTCTGTGGACTCTGGCCTTTGCTCACCTCTCCAGCCTCCCATCATGCCTTGCAAGTCCCACCCTCCAAGTGGGGCCCTGCCAGGCTCTCTCTTAGGGTCTTTGTTCCTGTTGTTTCAGTTGCTGGGCCACCCTTCCCCCCATCTTCTTTACCTCTCTCAATGCCGCCTACTAGTCTTGCAAGTCTTAGCCCAGAGTATCAGCTCTTCTGGCAGGTGATACTCCCAGATCCTCACTCTCATCTCACTCCATAGAACTCTGCCTTGGCCTTTATCATTTTACCACATTCAGTGTTACCACATTCTCTCTTTGTAGCTCTTTGAAGGCAGGGACCACGTGTTAATGAATCTTTGCACTCCCACTGTTTGTATCCCAGAGTGTCTGACACATAGAGTCCAAACCAAAGAAACACACCCATTGCTGTGGAGTTGATGGACTCCTGGTGGCTCTATGGACTCTTCATGGTTCTAATATTCATGGAGGGAGCTCTGGTGGCTCAGGGGTAAGAAATTACTCTGCCAACCCAAAGGTACAAACCCACCAGCTGCTGTAAGGGAGAAATATGGGCAATCTCGTCCCTGTGGTTTATTGCCTCTGAAACCCCACCATTCAACAGTATTCAACAACAGCAATCTTCAGGGAAGCAGACTACCAGACCCTTTTTTTTCTACAGAACTACTGAGTGGGTTTTGAACTGCCAACCCTTAGTTTAGTACCCAAGCCACATTGCTATTGAGTTGATTGCGACTCATCAAGAAAACTGCCTAATCTTTGTCCCATACAGTGACTGGTGGGCTAGAACACCAGGTCCTTGGGGCCAGAGAAAAGCTTGGAAATTAGCTCTCAGGAAGATTACAGCCCTGGAAGCCCTATGGTGCAGTTCCACTCTCTTCTATAGGGTCATTACAGACACACAGGAGTCTAACAACAGCACTGAGTACCTACTATGTGTAGGGCACTGTGCTGACGTTAAAGATCCCTACTTTAGGCTCTGTACTTAGGAGCTAATGATTAAATGCGTTTCTCCCCTGCTAAGTATTAAATTCTCAAAGAAGTCAATTTCAAATGGTGACATTTAAGAAGACATGGGGATTTGGGTATCAGAGACGTTTTCAACAGTCTTCTACTGCACTACACATCTACAGTAGCTCGGGCTCAATGAATTTTCTGTGTAAAGTGACTTTCTAATGAGTCAGAGTGGCCTTCAGCCACAGGTGACTTTATTTGTCACGGTTTGGCCATCAGGGCGTTCTTCCAGGAGCTAGATTCTTTTTACCATTTTGGGGAGCAGGCGCTTTTCCTGACTTTGCATGGCTCCACTGAATCAAATCTAACAACCCCCACCCCCAGGCTTTCAGACTTTTGAGGCGCAGTGCTGGGAGCTGAGGCAGGCTGTAACAATCTCACTGGCCCCCGGGAATAAAATGCCCCAAATGTGAATGGTGGTGAGTAGGGTACACAAGCCTATGCTGAGAAAAGGGCTCGAGAGGCTTCTCTCAGCTAGTAGGTGGATTTTGTGTGGAAGGGAAAAGGCTGGTGGCCAGAGACAAGCTGGACCGGGTTTTGAGAAGGCCTGTGGTGAAGCAGAGAGGGGGCGCCTCCGCTGGGGCCCCCACTAACCCCAGCAAGGAGAGAAAGGTTGCTAGCAAAAATGCTAAAGGGGAAAAAAGCCCTCCCAGCTGTAGGCCAATAAGCGAAGGGAAGAAGGCGTGAGGCCGGGGAACTTCTCCCCGAGCCAGTCACAGGGGCCCGCTGCTGGGAAGCCAATCAGCGCGCCGCAGCCCGCAGCCCCTCTGCAGCGGTTCTGCCAGAGCGCCCTGCGTGGAGCGGCGACGAGCCGGCGGCT